ATTCGGGGCACGAGCTATTCACAACATGGAATCATTTTCTAGTCTTGATGCAATAAAAGCAGCAACGGAGGCTTTGAATCTTAAGCATATCAGCATAAGGAACTGCGTGCCGTTCTTCTTGCCTAGGGTGTTTCTTCCGACGATGTCGGCTGTGTGGCGGAAGCAATGACAAGGTCCTTTCACAAGGCTTCTTCTGTTCTCTTTTAGCTTTGCTTGATGGCTTTGAGGTTCATAACCATTTATCCCTGCTCATTTTACTTTTTCTTTAGTAACCCTGTCTGGCACCAATCCTGCGTTCTTCTAACATCCTTTTTATTCTATCTTGCAGGTTGCATTTCGCTTGGTGTAAGACTGACTAACTTGACACATTTTAGGATCCTCTTCAAGACTGAAGAACACATTAATTCTTGGCTTGGATAACTTAATCCTACTTAGGCTGTAAAAACTTGTACTGTAACAGCTTGGCACTGTAGTATTGTTGTGTTCAAGCTGCTAGAACCTATGTACCCTTTCATTTTGGATACTAAAGACACATTGTAATTTCTACATGGTATATATATATGCTGCCTGGTTGATGAAATTCTTTGATTGAGATCTCCTTGCAGGTTGGGTACCCTTTTAAAACAAAGTAGATGTTGCCAAAATTTTGGTAGGATCCTTGCCCAAAACTTCTTAGTACCTATTATCTTTCTCTCTTTTTTTTTTTTTTAGAAAAAGGACTTCTGAACGTTGTGAGCATACTAGTTTCTTTTGCAAATGCTTGGCTTGGCATGTTTCTCTTTGTCTTGATGAGGCATGAAACCTACTGACTTCTTAGGATCCCATACAAGTGACTTTGCTTGGCATGTCTTCTGCTAAGTAGTTTTTTTTTTTTTTTTTTTTTGTTAATTCTAAGATATCTGCCGTATACGTATATATACACAAAAGTTTGGGGTGCAGAAAGGCGAATTTCTAGAGACAGTTTTTTTTTTTTTCTTTCAAAATACTCCTTCATTTTCATTTCAAATCTCATGCCACCATGATGGTACATTTTACAAAAGCTTCTCAAAGCAAAAAGCTAGAATATAGAAGGATACCATATTTAAAAAGAAAAGAAATGCGATAGCATAAAACATAAAATACGATGCCTACTTAGCAGTAGTAAGGCTTAAGCCACTTTCCATTAATGAGATCCGTTAGCATGCCTTTCTTGATAGAGATCAAGCGATAATAGCCACTGTTGTGCACTTCCTTGACTGCAAAATGGACATTCCCATTGCGGAGCAAACTTGGAAGGCCCCAACACTTGTCTTCTCACATGCTCGACAACTTTTAGCACGAGATCTCTTTGTTTGAAGGCTTGACGCTTAATGGTCCTGTTATATGCTTGGGTAACAGTTTTGTGGGAAAGTGCCATTTTTCTTTCGGCTTCCATTCTTTTTTCGTCCACAGCTTGGAGGTCTAGCAAACACCAATCCGAGCATGACTTCGCATCCCATTCAAGATCATTGACAGCTGATACCCTGGTTGTGGGGATGGTAATTTCCACAGGTGAGATAGCATCATACCCATACACGAGCGAGTAAAGTGAAAAACCTGTAACACTTCTTAGAGAGGTGCGATAAGCCCACAAAGCATCCAGCACGTGAACACTCTAACCACCTTCATATTCATATACCATCTTGCTCAAAATCCTCAGTATCATTTTGTTGGTAGCCTCAGCCTGACCGTTTCCCTGTGGGTAATAAGGTGTAGAGTGACGATGCTTGATACCATAACCACTAAGTGTTGAGCTTACTTGCTTGTTAACAAAAGGTGTGCTGTTGTCAGTGACCATTTTGTATGGGATTCCAAATCTGCACACGATGTATTCTCGAATGAAATTTGAGACAGCAGCTCCTGTGGCCTTTCGAAGAGGAATTGCCTCGACCCACTTTGTGAAATATTCTGTAGCAGTAAGGATCCATATGTAACCGTCATAAGGGGGATGGATTGTCCTAATTAAATCAAGCATCCAAGTTTGAAAGGGCCAAGGAGTGCGCATGTCTTGTAACAGCGTAGGAGGTTTATGACTTAAATTAGCATGGATTTGGCACGTGTGGCATTTCTTAACAAAGTCATGTGCATCTTTCTTCATGGTAGGGCAGTAATATCCAAAACTTAGTAGCTGTCGATGAAGCCTCTTCTTTCCTTGATGCTCTCCACACTCTCCAGCATGTATTTCCTGTATGGCTTGATGTACCTCCGTTTCCCCCAAACATTTTAGCGGCTCACCATTGAACCCCTTTCGGTAAATAGTCGATCCGTCCACAAAATACCTCTTGGCCGTCTTTTTAAGCTTGTAGGCAAGCTTGGAGTTGGTTGGTAGAGTCCTTTCAACAAAGAATGCTAAGTATGGAGCCCTCCAATTTTCCGCAAATGAAATGGTGATGGATTCTTCAGTAGAGGGTAGCGTAGAACACGTGGGACAATTGGCTTGGATTTCGGCTGCTTGTTTCTTCATTTATGGCCAGTAATAACCCTTGTGTTCCAGACGTCGATGCAAACTGATTATTGGTTCCAAATTGCAAGTGTTATCATGTACCTCTTGGAGCTTTACTTGTGTTTCTGTCATCCCTATGCAACGGGTCAAAATTCCTCCCAGAAGGCGTCTGTAAAGCTCTCCAAAAATGATAGCATAATCTTTTAACTCCTTGATGTCGTTTCCCTTGTCTATCTTCTCCTTCACAAGTTTCCTCTAGTCACTTTCTTCCAACAGCTTCTCTTGAGTCATTGTTTCGACTACTGGCATTGAAACGACCTGACCCAATTTCCACTTTGGAATCCGGGTCGAAACCTGTTTAAAACTGACACCTGGTAAACGTGGGTCGTAAATGACTAAAATGTCCTGAAAACAGTAACACAACTGAGCGACTCTGATTCGTGGCTGCACCTAATAACTGTAGGCTGCCTACGTACCCTTTCTGAGGGATCAAGCCACACGTAGTTCTTTCCTCTGTTCCGGACCTGTAACTGGTTTGTTTTACTGTAAACCTCACTCTAGGGCTGACATTTCTGGAGTATCCGGGACTCCGTTTTACGATATGTCAAATACTATACGATCCTGGGAAAGTCTAGATTAACATACTTGGAATTAACTACGATCCAACGGTTCAAACGTATTGAACCCGGAAATCGCACAGTAGGC